TTTTAAAATAATGTAAGAAACAATTCTTAGAAAATTAAAAACATGATAGCTGAAATTAAAAATTCATTATGACAGTGGAAATGTAGCAAAGGAATTTTCCCCAAAGGGAAACCAAAGAGACAGAACAGACAACAGTCCTAGAAGATCAGCACTGGGGCTTTAATATAGGACTAAAAGTTAATGAAAGAGAGACAAAGTATAATGGAGATGACATTATCAAAGAAGTCATTTCAGAGATGAAGGAGCTTTGTTTTCATATTGAAAACTGTCATCACAATGAAACCACAGACCCAATACAAGTACAATTCTGTGGATCTTCCAGACACACAGTTGATCTCTCAAAGACAATACTACAAGAAGGAAAGGGACTAAAGCTTTCAACTTTAAGGGAAAGTTATTTTCAACCTACCATTTTATAAGTAACTACAATCATGTAGTTGGGGGGGGATAAAGATTTTTCAAACATGCAGCTTCTCTAGTCAATATCTAATGCACCTTTCTCAGGAAGCCAGGAGAGGGTGGGCCCCATCAGAATTTGATGAAAATCAAGAAAGAGGAAGTTAGCTATTTGATTCTAGAAACGCTGCTCAACACAGAGGCAAGTCAAAAGGGAACCTCCAAGATGATTTTTAAATGGAAGCACCATTACAGCATTTGTACAGTAAGTCTCCAAAGCAACAGACTCAGATTGAAGTGTAAAGAGGGAGAGTTCTGAAAAAATACCTTCAGGGAAAAAAGTAATAGAAAAGAAAGATTTACTGATAGTTTGGACTCTGAGAAAAACTGCACTGTTTTTCAAAAAGATGTTGAAGATTTAAGCAAGGAGTGAAGAAATACAAGCAAAGAAAAGAAGGCCATCATGACAGAAAAACAATAATACTCATACAGCACTTGGTTTAGCTGTGAATCATCACAATAATGAAAATGTTAATGTTCAATCAGAATGTACCATACACTGAGAGAATGAGAAAGAGAAGTAGGAATACATCTTCAGGGCCACATGTCAAAAGGCAGTGGCTTGAAAAATAGTAATGTTTCTATTATTTGGAAACGTGAATGTAAATACCAAAAAGCAAGCGGGGGAAACATGAAAGGAGTTACCACAGAATAGCAGAATGGGGAAAATTTGGGAGCAGTCAGGGGTACAAGGTTTGCTGGTAACTGTGTTTTATTTCTTTTTACCACTATTTGCCCCTTTTGGTGGGGGGTAAAGGTGGAAATTTTTTTTAATTGAACAAGAAAAAGGAGTCTTATAATATTAAAGCTGTAAGTATTTTTTCTGCAATTCATTTATCATCTAATGTACAATATTCAAAGACTACTTTTATGAGTCCTTTTTACTTGTGTGATTTCAGTTCTCTGATTATAAAATCTGAGCAGAGATTGTACCCCTAAGTTTTGGGCAGCATTGTTGTCTTCTTCTAAAAGACAAAGACCTGTGTGATGCTGAAATTTTCAGTTAAAGAGGAATTAATCAATCTGTACATTGAGACATAATACTACTTTAAAAGTCTTAATGATCAAGACCTCTGCTTTTATGAAGCAAATTTACATATTTCATTTGCAAATATTATGCATCCCATTTGATGCCATAATGTGCTTTTGTTGTTGTTTTTCCCTAAGAAATATATATTACATATATATATTACATATATATATATTACATGTATATATATATATATATATCTTTTTTTTTTTTTTTTGCAAACCACTAAGTATGGTGAGGGGTAGCAGGAGGCCTCTAATGGATATTTGCCAAAGTGTGTCAGAAAAAAGTATTCCATTTAAACAGTTCTGCTCCTTTTCTTTTCTTTTGGAGCCTGAATTGTCATATTAACAACATATTACAAACTAGTAATGTGAGTAGAATATCTTATATCCCTCCCTACTTATTTGCCATATTTTCTTCAGCAAATCAGTATTTCATAGCTTCCTGTAGTTCTCAGTCTTTTCCATATTGCCTTTCCCATTTCTATAAAATTTCCCATCCCAGCTCAGGCTTCTTGAAAGGACTCGAGAGTCTTGGGCCCCTGATACTCAAGGCCTGTGGAAAGCAACTTCACAATATCCCTTGACTTCAAGGCATGCTTGAACCTTCGATTTAAGAAAGAATAATGTAAAATGAGACCATAATTGGTTCAACGTACAGTCTATATTTTATATTTAGGTAAAAAAATACCTACAAGTCAAAATTTTTTAAATGTGGTATTTGTGATGGACGTCCACCTTTCATTTTCATGGCATGTTCTGTAATAAGTATACATGTGAGCCAGTCTTACACAGAATCTGTCCCAAAGTGCCTAAAAAGTAAGAACTAACATCTAAAATCATCCCTAAGAAATTAAAGATACAGAATAATCGAAATGAAATTTTAATTATAATAGCTTTGAAGAGTGGAAATTAGACTAAAATATTTTGTGGAAGATTTTCATTTCAACCCATGGATTTCTTCTGGGATCTTGGTTAGCAGGAAACCATATTTAAGTTTACTTTAACAATTCTTTTAATAATCCCTGCTCTTCTGATGTTTATATCTAATAAACACATCTCCATCTAACCAGTAGATGAAGCGAGAAGGCTAGGAATAAGGTTGACTTCTTTTTCCTTCCAATAGACTTCCAAACCTTGCTGACTGCTCATTTTAAACACCCAGTAAGCCCAATTATATTTCTCTGACTTTCTAATACCCAGACATATGCTCAACCTGCATCACTGCACTCTATCTCTTCCAACTTAACCTTTCTTGGTTAGGAGAAATTTTAGCCCCTTGTAGTAGATTTTAAGATCTTCCATGATTAAAATCGCTCTTTGCATGCTTTCATATTTGTCTCAATATGCCTTCTCCTCTTTTTTCTCCTACCAGCTGTACTTCAGCTCCAATCTCTTGTTTATCTACTTTTCTGCTAGCTGCCTCTTCTGTCCCAAACCTTGCCCCCTGCTCTTTTTTCTGACTATCTTTTATTCATCCTTCAAGACTCTAATCTAAATTCATTTAATGTTATAGCCAACCTATCCACATGTTTAGGTTTGGGTTTGTTCCCATTTGCAACCATGTGATTGGTAGATGATTCTGATAGTTTTAGAAAATTAAAATTTTTAAATGAGAAAAATGCTATCTATTACAAAAGAAAAATAAGAAAAACTCAATGACCCATCTCAAGTCCATGCTTTGGAATAGCTAACAGAATATTAATCTGAAGGTCAAAAAATTGTTTTGGCCTTGAGTTTTTATAATATTAAAAGTCCCAAGTAGAATTCCTATTACTTTAATTCAAAATGAATTGATCAATTTCTGGTTAGATATATTAGTGTGGCATAATTTAACACATATTTTTTTTTAATTTTTAAACGTTACTTTTTTATTTTATTTTTTAACACATATTTCTAAAACCTGCCAAAATATTCACATCAATCTTTTCATAATTGTATAAGCAACCAACAATATTAATAGGAGCAGAAGTAGATTTTAAGATATCTAAGAAAGTACTCTTAGCCATCTTTTGGGGGTGATGCTGGGGTTTTGAATGACCAGATATACTTACATACTGCTTTATATCCTCAAATGTATTACATGTAGTTGTTTATCAACACCTGGTTTCACTCTCAAATCAACTCCAAGAGGTAGACAAAAGAGGTATCATCATCTCTTAGAGAATTTAAATGGTTTGGTTAAGGCCACTACTTAAAAGGTTATTAATCCAGAATTATAGTCTGTGAGTTTCAACTGCAGGTCCAGAACTCCTTGCTTCACCAATTGCCCCACTTGTGTCCCATAATCTTGAAAATTCCAGGTATTAATACCTTTGGAGTAACAATGCTGTTTTCAGATATTCTCATTTTAACATGCAAAATTTTCAATGAAAATTGCATATTAAAATACACTATGTGAAAATTGATTTATCATACTGTTTTTCCTTAAATCAGGACTCCATGCTAAGGAAGATTTGTGCCCAGTCATGGATGGCTAAGAAAAAAAGTTTTCATGAACTAGGAATAAGGCACATACTAGGGAAACTTTGCATCCTTACCTCTTTTTTTTTTTAATCACCTCCACACAAGAAAACCTCTTTCTAAACAAACGTGCTCTATTCTCAAAAATAGCTCTTTTGGGTGACTATCCAAATGACTGTAAGTTAGCCTATAATAGATATACCTGCACTATTCACAATAGCCAAACCATGGAATTAGCCCAGGTGCTAATGATCTCATGAGCTGATAAAGAATATAGGGCATGTAGAGACAATGGAGTATTATTAGGCCATAATGAAGAATGAAATTGTGTCATTTGCAGGAAAATAAATGGAACTAGAGATTTTCATGTCAAGCAAAATGCACCAGACTGAGAAAGACAAATATCAAATGTTCTTTCTCATACACAGAATCTACATACACAATGACATGCATGTAAAATTGGGACTTTGTGGGGGGAATTGTGGGAAGAAGAAGTACAAAAGGAGAGGGTGATGAGTGGGAGTGAATATGATCTAAGTATTTTGTATGCATGTATGAAAACAGAATAATGAAAACCATTAAAAATTGTTTTAAAAGGTTGTAAAAAGGGGAATAAGAAAATAATAGGGTAAATTTGATCAAAGTGCATTATACACTTCTATGGAAATATCACAATTAAACTTCTTTGAGCCACTAATATATGCAAATAAAAATAGTTCCTTCTAACCATGCTGAAGTGGCAGAAATAAAAATTATTAGTATTTTAATCTGTCTGTACCTGATAATTTTCTCGTACAGATAATTAATCTGCCTGTACTTTATGTTTGGATAGCATCATAAAATGTATGATATATGTGAATATGCATTATTCAATTTGAACTTTACAACAGACATGTGACCTGTTTATGTATACATGAAGAATCTAAGTCTGAGAGACTTAATGAATGAATCAGGGACAGAGTCCCACTTTTGGGACTTTAAAAGCCTTTCCCTTTTCCATTTTCCATAAGGCTCATGTTCATAGAGCCACATTCTCAGTGGATACTTACATTTCATCACACCTTGAATTTCATAAATAGGTTTGAGAATCAGAGTTCCATAAAAGTCTCTAGGGAATGGATTTGTTGAGTCCCACTTATTTGAAAAATCTGTAAGTTTCACAGTTCGTGTTCTGTTCTTGGGAATCTTCCATTCGACAATCTCTTTTAGGGTATAAATATGTTCATCTTCACACTCATAGAATTCTCCTTCTTGTGCCAGAGGCAAAGTAAATGAGTGATTCTGATGATTCCGTACTACTCCACAGTTCACCAGTACTTCTCCATCAATTTCTTCAACTGAGCTAAGCATGATTTGCTCACCCTGCTTTATGGTGAGACTCTCTAGTTTCACATCCTTCTGATGATAGAAGCAAGGATGTCCTAATCTACTAGGTCCAATGTGAATGGTTCTTGTAATTTCTTCCATAGTAAGATATGGAGTTTTATCAGCCACAATCTTAAAGAGACCTAAGGAAAGAATTGTGTAAATTAAAGACAGGTCTTACAATGAAAATTCTCAGAAGAAAATCACAATGAAATAACCATAAAACAAGTACAGTGTACCTTTAAAAATTAGTACTTCTTTTTATAGAGATTTTAATCTTGAATTCTTGGAGGTAAAATGACCACATATTGTTCATAGATTACTAGATCATTAGATCAGGCAACACAGATGGAAACAAGTAGAAATGGCCTGTTCTTAGAAACAGGAAGTCTCTGATTCAACTACCAATGTGATCTCAAGGTATTTAATCACTAAAGATTACATTTTTAAGTGTTTAATTTTCAAAAGAGAGGACCTGGTGAGATTAGTTTTTCCATGAGTATATTCTTTAGAAAAAGCAAAATTAAAAGATACTTCAGAAAGGAATTGATTCATAGTCAAATTAATGATTAAAAAGCTATATAGCTAGAACTAAGTAATGTGGTGATTATACAACATTATAAATATAGTAAATGTCATTTGAACTGTATAGCTGAAGAAGGTGAATTTTGTTAGGTGTATTTTACTATGATGAAAATATCTGCATAGTTCTAATTAGTTTAAGACTTTTCAGAAACTTTAGATGAACTATGGCTCTCAAAAAGGGACTGTGGCAGCTGACAGAGTAGCTCAAGAGGTAGAGTGCCTGCCTAGCAAGTGTGAAGTCCTGAGTTCAAACCGCAGTACTGCCATTAAAAAAAGTAAAAAGGGAATATGGCATGCAGAATTTCCCAAACGTCTTTCACTATAAAGCTCTTGAACAAAATACGCATTAATAAATCAGAACACAATGTGGCACAGTAGATTATTCCTCCTCATACCTCTGTGTGGAAGGATGCTAGGTCAGATGATTGTTTGAACCAAATATTCTTTCTTTTTTTTAGGGGGAGGTAAGGTACTGGAGTTTGAACTCAGGGTTTCTTGCTTGCTAGGCATGGGCTCTACAACATAAGTCCACCTCCAGTCCTCCTTGCTTAGGTTACATAGGGTCTTGATTTTTGCCCAGGCAGGCCTGGACCATGATCCTCCTATTTTACGCTACTGCCATCACTGGGATGACAGGTGCATGTCACTACATCCAGCATTTTTCTGTTGAGATTCTTTTGGTGAGACTGGCCTGGCACCACAATCCTCCTGATCTCAGCCTCCCAAGTAGCTGGGGTTACAAATGTGAGTCACCTGCACTTGGCTGGATATTCTTGATAATATATCATTCTTTTTTGTATTATTTCTCTAATTTTCCCATTAAAATTCTCCACTATTTTCACTATTGCAGTAACTTCAATTTTACTAACTTCATTATTTGAATTTTTCTTTGATATTATCAGCATAATCCCTACTATAATGATTTTTACTATTTAATATAACTTTTTTTTTTAGCAGCACTGGGGTTTGAACTTTTACTAGGCAGGTGCTCTACCACTTGAGACACTCTGCCAGAAAAGTGTAACTTTTTGTAGTTGTATGTTTCAGTGGTTCTCCTGTTTTAACTATTTTGTTTTCATCTATGGATACATTTGCTTTAAATCATTATCTTAATTTATTTATTACACAGATTTTAATAAATTCCATGCAAAATAGTTAGGGCATCCAGACAAAAGATCAACAAAGAAACTTCAGAGCTACTCCACACATTAGACCAAATAGACATGATAGACATCTACAGAGTATTTTGCCCAAAAACTAGGCAATAAACATTCTTTTCTGAATCTCATGGAACTTTCTACAAAATAAATCATATTTTAGAATACAAAGCAAGTCCCAACAAATTGAAGAAAATCAAAATAACCCCCTGCAGCATATTACCAGACCTCAACAACAAAAGAAATCCCAGAAAATATTCAAACACATGGAGTCTGAACAACACACTGCTGAAAAACCAAAGGGTGACTGAAGTAATAAGGGAAGAGATAAAAAGGTTCCTAGAATCCAATGAAAATGAAAATACAACTTACCAGAATCTGTGGAACACAACAGAGGCTGTGCTAAGGGGAAAGTTTATAGCTATAAGTGCCTACATTTAAAAAAAAAAAGAAAACTCTCAAATAAACAATCTAATGATGCACCTTACTCTCCTAGAAAAACAAGAACAAACCAAACCCAAAACAAGCAGATGGAGTGAAATAATAAAAATCTGGGCTGAGATGAATGAGATTAAAACCAAACAAACTATACAAAGAATCAATGAAACAAAAAGTTGGTTCTTTGAAAAGATTAACAAGATCAACAAACTCTTAGCCAACATGACAAAATGGAGGAGGGAGAAGACCAAAATTAATAAAATCAGAGATGAAAAAAGGGATATAACCACAAACACCAACAAAATCCAGAAGATCATTATAGAGTACTTCGAAAACTTATATTCAAGTAAACTAGAAAATATAGATGAAATGGTTAAATTCCTAGATGCATATAAACAGCCAAAGTTGAACCAAGAAGATATTAACCATTGAAATAGTACTATTACATGCAATGAAATTGAAGCAGTAATAAAGAATCTCCCTACAAAGAACAGCCCAGGACCTGATGGATTCCTGGCTGAATTTTACCAAACCTTTAAAGAAGAACTAACACCAACTCTCCTCAAACTTTTCCAGGAAATAGAAAGGGAAGGAATACTACCAAACTCATTCTATAAAGCCAGCATTACACTCATTCTGAAACCCAATAAAGATGTAACCAGATAAGAGAATTATAGACCAATATCTTTAATGAACATAGATGCACATATTCTCAACAAAATACTGACAAACAGAATTCAACAACACATCAAAAAGATTATACACCATGACCAAGTTGGTTTAATACCAGGGATGCAAGGATGGTTCAATGTATTTAAATCCATAAATGTAATACAATAAATACATAAACAGATGCAAGGGCAAAAACCACATGATCCTCTCAATAGACACAGAAAAAGTCTTTGACAAAAATCCAACACCGTTTCATGATAAAAGCTCTGAAGAAACTAGGAATAGAAGGAATGTTCCTCAACATAATAAAGGGTATATATAACAAAACTAGAGTCAACATCATATTAAATGGAGAACAACTGAAACCATTCCCCTTAAAGTCAAGAAAGAGACAGGGCTGTCCACTGTCTCCACTCCTATTCAATGTAGTTTTGGAATTCCTAGCTAGAGCAATAAGACAAGGGCAAAAAACAAAAGGGATTCAAATAGGGAAGGAAGAAGTCAAACTATCCCTATTTGTAGATGGCATGATCCTATACCCAAAGAGACCCCCAAAACTACAAAAAATTAATAGAAATCATAAACACTTTTGGCAAAGAATGATATAAAATTAACATACAGAAATCAGTAGATTTTCTATATACCAACAATGCACAGACAGAGAAAGAAACAGAAAAATAATCCTGTTTATAATAGCCTCAAAAACAATAAAGTACCTTGGAATAGATTTAATGAAAGAAACCAAGGACAATGAAAACTATAAACCACTGAAGAGAGAAATCAAAAAGACATCAGATGGAAAGATCTTCCATGCTCATGGATCAGTAGAATCAACATAGTGAAAATGGCCATACTATCAAAAGCAATCTACATGTTCAATGCAATCCTTATCAAAATTCCAATGACATTCTGCACAGAAATAGAGAAAACAATTGTGAAGTACATATGGAAACACAAAAGACCTCAAATAGCCAAAGCAATTCTGAGGAAAAAGTTCAATTCTGGAAGCATCAAAACACCCAATTTCAAACTATACTACAGAGCCATAACAGTAAATACAGCATGGTATTGGTACAAAAACAGATAGGAAGACCAATAGATTAGAATAGAAGATCTAGACATAAACCCATGCATCTATAGCCAACTGATCTTTGACAAAAGAGCCCAAAACCCACGATGGAGAAAGACAGCCTCTTCAACAAATGCTGCTGGGAAAAGTGGATATCCACATGTAGAAGACTGAAACTAGATCCCTGCCTTTCACCCTGTACCAAAATCAACTCAAAGTGGATCAAAGACTTTAATATAAGGCCCAAAACTTTGAAATAACTCCAAGAAGCAGTAGGAAATATACTGGAACAGATAGGTATAGGAAACGACTTCCTAAACAGAACTCAAATGGCTCAGCCTCTAAGAGAAACAATGAACAAATGGGACTGCACCAAACTAAAGAGCTTCTGCCCAGCAAAGTAAATAGTCATCAGACTGAAGAAACAGACAACAGAATGGTAGAAAATCTTTACCAGCTACTCATCCAAAAAGGGTCTAATATCCAGAATCTACAGGGAACTCAAAAAACTCAGCCCCCAAAGAATCAGCACCCCATTGAAGAAATGGGCTTATGAATTAAACAGGGAATTCCCAAAGAAAGGGGTACAAATGGCCAGTAAATACACGAGGAAGTGTTCAATTTCTCTAGCTATAAAAGAGATGCAAATCAGAACTCTTAGATTGCATCTCACCCCCATTAGAATGGCCAGAATTAAAGGTAATAGCAACAACAGGATGTGGCAAAACAGGAACCCTTATACATTGCTGGTGGGAATACAAATTAGTACAACTACTATGGAAAGCAGTACAGAGATTCCTCAAAAAACTAGAGATAGAACTGCCATATGATCCAGTGATATCACTCCTGGGCATCTACCCAAAAGACCATAAGCCAGGATACAGTAGAGACACCTGTACACCAATGTTCATTACAGCACTATTCACAATAACCAAGCTCTGGAAATGACCCAGATGCTCTAACTGATGAATGGATCATGAAATTGTGGTATATATACACAATGGAGTATTACTCAATCACTAGGAATAATGAGATGGGGTTTGAAGGTAAATGGATGCAATTGGAGGACATTTTGTTAAATGAAGTAAGCCAGGATCAGAAAGACAAAAAAACACATGATTTCTCTCATACATAGAAGATAGTTCCAAATATAAATATACACAAAAACAAGCATGATCATATACAAACCCAGATATAGAACATGTTTGTAACAGTGGAACTA